TACGAAATCTCTCCAATTCCCTCTAATTCCTTAACTTTCTCAAATTCTTTAAAATCAATTTCTAATTGAATACACCTGAAATGTTATAAACTTCTTTAAAATCTGAATTGAATATACTCGGATTTCTAAGGATTTTAATAAACTATCTAAAATTATAATTGAATACACCTTGAATTTCAAATAATCACTTAAAATCTTGATTAAATATCCCTAGATTCATTAAAAGAATTAAAATCCCTCAAATTTCCAATTAAATACACTCACTAATTATATTTGACATGCCCCGATCCCGATATCCGAAAATGAAAAAGATAATGGTTATTAAACATTGTGTCCATTAAAAAGCTACAGAAACTGGTTATTATGCATTATTTGTTCGAAGAGTTGTATGGTTCAAATTTCGTATTTGCCTGGAAACCTTGTCTTTTTGCTTCTTTTGATACAAAGGCACAGGCGAACCCATTGGGGATGTATCCTCACGAGTCTACACCACTCTTCATGTGGTTAGGATATTACGGAAACTCTATATCCCTGGTTGTAGGTAAGAATAGACAACAATTCGAGATGACTAATTTCGCATTAAACTACAGCGACATTTGCGTACAAGAACCGTATATACACAAATCATTCAATACATAATCAAGTGTACCGAAAATTTTCAGTTCATGAATAATCTAAGTCAATTATGTACGTCAGAAAACATCTTGTGAGAGGGGTCATTGTATCTGATTCTCTCTCCCTTCTTATAACACTACCAACTTCCCTCATATATCCTTGCAACGAGGATCGCCTGACAGTCGCAGTAGGTGCGAAAGTGTTCCTGAAATCAACAAGGTCAAATTTTTAACGAGTAACGTAATTGCAGCAAGATATTGGGAAACATGAAGTACTACTTGATACGGAGATATGCTGTCAAAAGATTGATTTGCTATTGAAGATGTACCTCATGAAAAATGAAACTAGTGACCAGAAATCAATAGCCACGTGAAAATTACTATGCTTGCTCCATTGAGCGCAGTCATTGGACTACTGTAAGATTTTTACTCGCGTATCTGCCTATCACACCAGCAAGGGCTTGTATTAACGACTTTGGGTCGAAGACTACACCAGCTTTTGGATCACGTATGGAATCGACAACAATCTGCAAAAGGTCACTCTAGTCTGAACTTTGATATTCAGGTAATGAAACAAACATATATACGGCCAACAAGCAGTCTAAAAACGTAAAATTTTACATTCATGAAACTAACAGAAAAAGAATTTGGATATATACCACATTAAAGATTCCTTGGGCAGCCAAGCGTTGAACATCTACAGGAACCTCACCACCTTTGGGAACTAATAGAGTATTGATGTATTGATTAGGCTGCATGGAAATATAAACTTGTAATAAATTACATGTTCCCTGTATAAATAAATGACGATCTCATAGTCATGCACTAACTTACAAGGTTTTCAAGACTCTTATGAGGATTTCCATATGTTCGATTTAGTGCATCTGTAATAGCGGTTACAAAGCAAGAAGCTGAAAAACCACTTGTCTCTCGATCACGGGTACCATTTAACAAAAGCACCTTTTATTGGAACAAACTGAATCAACTCAACATGTAACTTGACATGGAGAATAAATAATCTGTTCGTTAATGTCTATCTATAAGGCTAATCTGGAGTATATCACAAAACTTTGCAACAATAAGGAAAAACCAACATGACAACTTGTTCAATTGGCACTTGTATCATGTAACATGTAACTCAAAAGTGTGATGAATACGTACCTTGGGGCAGGACTTTGACGATATAATCTCCCCAATGCCAATCAACACCTAAAGAATGAGGCAGAATAAATGAAAATTATGAATATACAGGTTTCTCACATCTGGAAAACCATAAACAAATAAATAAACGCCGCATATTTAAGATGGTAGTAATGTTACCAGTGATGGGCAAATAGAAGTAAACAGGGATCCCATGGCATAAACTACGCAGTCCACATTACGCAACTGATCCAGGACAGCTGGGTTTGCAGCAGGGAAGACCTAGTCAATGAGAAAACCGTTGTTCTGGTTTTAGGAACTGCAGAAGCATATACACAACGGACATATGCATTTCATGGCATATGCAAGCATTTTAATCTTTAGAGAGGGACCAGTATTCTTTTTCATAACATGAGAAAACTTATTCATGACATGAGAAAATTACAGTGTTTTAGGGTAGTGCCGAAATATTTTTTACGAATGTTAACTAAATGCAATATTAGATAGAATAATGATTTAACAAAAGACTCCAGTATTGGGTCCTCATTGAAGTATAACAATAAAAACCAAAAGGAAAATATTAGGGCATCTCATTACATGAAACAAAAAAAAGATGAAGGAAAGAAAAAAAGGAAACGATTGAAACGTATCATTCACCTCATGCAGCAAGTTTTGGCCCTCACTTGACATGTAGAATACCTGCTTTATTCTCGAAGGAAGTGCTGGAAATGAAGAGCTTCCCTGTCCACAGTAAGCCATCATTTTTAATAAATGAGAAGTTATGTAATATAATTCTGCCACTAAAGGAAAATGCAAATCTCAACACCACCACATGCTTTTCTTACAAGGAATGGAACATTCTAAAAGATTCCATGTCATGTGTTCTCAGGAAAAGGTTGAACTATCAGAACACCAACAGGCTGAAACTTTCCAGATCATGAATACCATATCAGCATACCTTATTGACAGGTTCCGTATGTCCCTTGGTTGGATGAGAAATTTCGTTCTGGCCTCGTATTATAGTTCCATCCTAGGCATAAACAGCGCAAAAAGGAATTCAGCACGATTAAGTATCCGCAGAATCTTGCAAATTATACAACCACGGTTCCACAGTAAGCCAATACCATATTAAAAATCATATGCATACATATGTCAATATGTCAAGGCACATGAACTGTAAGTCAACAATCATACCCATAATTCACATCCTAATGTAAGCCTGTCGTTGGTAGAAATCACGGGGAGGACAAGACTTTCTGAAGGGATATCTGACACACGAGAAAACAAAAAAATTGCAGCATCTAAGGACTGAAAAAATGTACGTGCTCCTGCAAAGAAGAAATTCCCAATACTGCAAAACAAAAATTAAGAAATCAGTTAAGTAATCACACAAGGAAATCCAATTACAACAGGTATTTGATTGTAGTACACCTTTAGAAACATTTCTTAGTTAAACGGAAGGGATTACTGAATTCCAATTAAGCACCAGAAAGCAACAAAACAGAAATACGCCAAGTCATAGCTATTGAAAAGACTTCACACCTGCCATTACTGAAGCAAAATGATTCATCTGATCGCCGGAGAATCTGAATTAGAAAAGGCAATTGAAGAAGTTCAGATGAGTTCAGTACAAGTTTGAAATCAAAATACATATAAACAACATATTTTAGGCACTCTCGCCCAATGACTCACTTGATTCTGAAAATAAGCCAGAAAAGCTCGAATGGTTTCCCTGTATGGTTTTGATACTCCCGTCCATAGAGAATGTTCTCCTTCCACAATATCATACCTGTCAAATTCTCAACTCAGCAGACTGTTACTCAATAGTCAATACCCCACCACAGTAACACCTACCAAGTAAATAAGCATAATTTAGGATAAAAGAACAACATATCACCTAGAAATGACCAACAAACACGAAAGTACAAACTACAAACCCCCATTTGTCAAAGAGATGATTTTTTTTTTTTTTATCGTTTTTCGTCGTTGATTAAATCCAAAGATCGAAAATTTGCAATGGCTGACATCATTTCTACGAATGACCATAAAAAATCCGTAAATTAACTAGAACGGTAGCAAAACATTACCATTCCGATTTGGCCTGCCGCGAATCGAGCGGCAACCGGTGGCCAAGCAATCTGCGAACGGCCACCGCCTCGGAAGTGCTCTTATCAGCCAATCTCAAGCATCTCGAACGTATATCTCCGACAGCGGGACCGCCTAACACACAACCACAACAAATAAGAAAGCGATCCCCAAATACAAAAACACTAATCGAAAATGAAGGCCGGAATTACCGAGGACGCGAACAATCTCGGCCGTGCTTCCGCCGTCGTCGGAAACAGGAAGGACGTGGGCGACGCGAGTGGTGAAACTCTTGAGCTCCTCAACGACGCCGTTGAAGGCAGTCCCGCCTGAGAAGACAAGCAGGGAGGGCGGGGGAGGGCTAGGGCTGGGGATGGCGGGGGAGGAGGAGCAGCGGAGGTGGTTAGGGTTTTGGGAGCGGAGGGTAGACATGGTGGAATGAGATCTGAGAGGGAATTGGGGGAGAGTGGGAGTGACAACACTGACAAGAACCGGAGAGGGAGAGGGACCCAACCAATTGTCCGCCATATTCCCGCGTCTTTCCTACCGTACCTTTTATTTTTTCCTTTTAGGAAAGCAATCTCCCAAACAATCTTCTTCTTTTTTAAGTCCCAAAACTAAATAACAAATATATATTTTTTAAATTCAAATAAAAAACAATTGAGGATTTTGATCTTTAGGGTCACCTCAACAATTTTCAAATTTTTGTTCCTTTACTATGTAGAGTATTAAAATATTACGATTCAAGTCACTTTTGTGTCTGATTGTACGGATCTCTGTTGATTACTTATGTGACAAGTACAAGATTCATTTCTATAAGGCAATCAAACCACACCCTAGCCTAACATATGTTTAGCCGTCCAATTTTGATCCGACGCAATGCTCAAATCTCAAAGTACGCTAACTTTAAAAATAAAATAAGAATGTAGCAAGTTAAAGATGTTGGGTAAGCCTATAAAATGACGATCCCAAACTAACAAGACTCTCTGCTTTGTAAGAATCGAAGGAAGAACGTCTATCGTACGCAGTTTTATTCTTACTTCGAAAAGAGGTTGTTTCCGCGAAAAATTTTGGTTAATTTGTATCAAGCAAAAAGTTGTGAAGTTATACATTTGTGTGGCTTTTCATGCTTAAATAAAGAACTTTAGCAACAAAAGAGAATATTGAACTCAATCCGCAGCAAAAATAAATTTCAGCGTCACAAAAATGGAAGCATATTTTTCACAGCCTTTTAGGAACCTCAGTATTTTCAACTCCACAACAAATAGGAAGCAGAATGGTGGTTCTCTTAAACTTGCATATCAAGAATGGTACTCTAATCTAAACAATCTCCCACTCAGACTCAGAAAATTCGTAATCCGGTGAACTAGATTTCTCAACGACTGCGATTGTTGTGAAGCTTTTCCCTTTCTGTTGATCAAATCCTGCGTCAAGATCTCCGGACCAATCTGCAGGCTGCTTATGGTTGCGCGTCTTCAATAATCTCATTCTCGAAGCAAATGCGTCCTTCAGTTTCTTCTGAGAACCAAAAAGAAAGAAATCAAAATGTCTGTTGTGTGTAATATGTTTCATCAGTTCCAAGTTTTATCAAAAGGAGTTTGTTGTACCTTGTAAGACCTGCATTTTGCGTCTTGACAAGAAATGGATTGAATTCCGCTACCATCTACTAAAATGCAACTTTTATCAAGCTTTAGCGTATTCAATGATTGTGAAATCTGTAAGACTGACTTGGTAACGTCATTATCCAGCTCTTCTGAAAGGGAGCCATGAGGTCCTTATGAAGTAATAGTTGATAACATATACTTTCTTACCACTGCTAAAACATTTTATTGACTTAAAATCAAATAAACAACCCATATGCATCAAAAGAAAACGGGTCCTCTATTAAAGGGCCAGGTAATGATATGCACACACGCAAAAACGAAAACATTTAGACAAGTACTATAACATGTTAGAACTCAAGGTGATAGAACTGCAACATAGGAAAGAAAATCGATGAAATTATTAATTACCACTTTCTCGAAAAGGCATGGTAGACCCTGATTCATCAAAACTGTCACACACTGGCAAAGGCACGGCAGATTTTGATTCATCAAAACTTTTGTGCAGTTCAATCCCACCAGGAGGAGAAACTGTCACATCCGTGGTCAAGCAGGCTGCACAATTGTCCGAGGAAACACAAAAATTAGTAGAAAAAGAACGCATAAGGAAGAAGCATACAAATATTTGGATACTAGATGCAGCTATACTTACAACTGGATATTTCTAGGGCATCGGTGGCAGGACAAGATCCAATGCCCGCAGGGCTTCTTTTACCAGCTTCTACAGAGTTAACAGCATTGGAAAATTGTATGTCATCTGAAATATTAGAGGGCGTGTCAGCATGGTTACCACTTCTATCCTCTGTTTCCACAAGAGAGTTACACCCTCCTGCATCATCCGAGGCTGGGATTAATATATTGCCTCCACCATCCAATTCAATTTCTTGGCTTGATATTTCTAGGGCATCAGTTTCTTCCAACGATAAACCACAGGAAACGTTCTTTACAAATTCCACAGAGCTTAAGTGGACTCTGTACGCGTCATCTAATGACCTTTTATCGCAGTCTTCATCAGTGCCTGCCGGTGATTTTACACAGGCCGCATCATTAGCGTTTTGTGGAAGAGATGAATCGGAAGCTGCCCCTTCCTCTATATCCACTGAAGATTGACCGAGTGCATCTCCTATAGGTTCTGACAGGGAGAGAAGGTTTTCAAAATTCTCATTAAATGTCTCCAACTGGCTTATAGCAGGTTCAATTACTTCCTGTCAAACAAAGGAATTTTCCATAAAAGTAAGGCGAGCAGGCGTGAGAGTAGAGATGATAAAGCTGAGCGTGAGAATGCAAGCAACAAAATAAAAAAAGGCATATCCACATTGACAAAAAACAATTCGGAAAATGTAGATGCTGAGCAGAAACTTGTTGCATAAGGCAAAACTAGAACTAGATGCTTGGACATAAACAAAAAACAATACCTGCTGCATTATTTCCTCCGCCTCCCGGCACAAATCTTCAAACTTCTGGTATAAGTTCCCAAACCATGATATGCCTTTACAACTCGTATCCATTAAGACCACAATAATGTATAAATTTTAGATGCAATTGAAGGTATAACTTCTCAACCTCCTTAGTCCAAGAACAACTCAATGTAGCCTGCAGTCATATAGACATGTATGGATGAGTACAAAATCATGTTTTCTTGATCAAGGGAACGCTAGGGCAACGCATACTACCCAAAGTAAATGACACCGATAACTTTGAACAAGTAACACTAAAGTACCCTCAGACGTTATATCAATTTCAGACCAAACCCTATATAAGAATCATAAGGTTCATACCAAAGGCAACTGGGTTGCGTCCGAATTTACTCAAACTGCGAGAAACGCAGCGTAAAATCATCACTTGTTGATGCTAATTTGACAATGGTTTCAGATATATTAATGCCAAATTGTATAACCTAAATTGCTAAACGGAGGGAACAGACAGGGAAAATTTGACTAAAAATAAATTATTACGCTGCATGCTGTATGGGAACCTAGAAATTTCTACAGAAAAATCTTAATGCTAGGCTTTCAAATTATTAGGCACCTTAAATTGAAAATTGCCATCTCCAAATCATTAAAACTAAAGTTCAAAACATACATAATATACACACACACACATATATATATTTTAAAATTATGAAATTTTTTTCTTCTTCGAATTCTCAGCAACCAAAGACACGATAAGAAGAACAGCATGAAACCCCAAGAATCGCAGGCAAGAAAAACTGAGATAACCAACACTTCAAAAAACTCTGTAATTTACCAAAAGCTACATGAAAAGTAACCTACTTTCATTGATCAACAAGCAAAACGCCTCAGAAGTTCGAACCTTTGATAAAAAAACAAGCATAGTAAAAAACGGAGGAGGCAGATAAAAAGTAAAAACCCCATGAATTTGATCACTTACAACTTACAAGCTCCAAGAATGGACGAACCCAGAAGCTAAACCACGAGAAACCGAATATTCAGTGCATACCCAGTGGAAATTAGGCTCAGTAAAGTGCGACAAGGAGGTCCACTGCCTGCTTAAAGAGTTAAAAAAAGAGAGTTAAAAGATAATAAAACAAAACATATGAAGTTGGTGGAAGCATAAACTGACTGGGTTTCGTACTTGTTTCTGAAAAAGGTTTCCTTTCCTAACGTGAATACGTCTCCAAAACTCTTGTTTTTTTTTTTTTTTTTTTTTTTTGGGCCTAGTTGAGTTTAGTTGGGTGTGCATACAATGGGCCAAGTTAGGATAATTTTCGAACGTGGTATAATTGAAATTGTTTAATTTCTTAATCTTCATTAGAAAATTATACTACAAAAATTCGTTTTATATTCATATCGTGTTATCGAGTGTAATGTGATTTTGTCATGTGTAGGATTTAGTGTCAATATGTCCGACCCAAACAAAAGAAAAATACATCAATTATTAAAATGTGATACTTCTTTTAATTTTTTTTTTTTTATTTAGCATAAGACACTTCTTTTAATTTTAACAACTTTTTTTTTTTGCTTTTAACATGATTATAGTTATACTAGTTAAAAATTAATGCAGTATGCCAGTTAAAAATTGTGACCTAATATATAAACGGGATGTTATTTTTGGACTGGTCAAAAACTCCACTTAAATTAAATGGGTAAATTTGAATTTTTTTTTTTTTATCGATGTGTTCTATTCATTTAGAAACTAGCATTTGCCTACACACTTTGTGTGTATGAGCATATTTTTTTTAGAAAATGAGAAGGAGAGAGAGAGAGAGAGAGAGAGAGAGAGAGAATGTGGGGGGAGTGAAGGTTTTTTTTTTTGGTTTTTGGTTTTTTTTTATATAAATATTGGAGATATTTTAACATCACCTATAGGTGAGGTTTCAATAAAAAAACAATAAAATTTGGACCTGTGAGATTACATTATTGCCCATCATTTTTTTATATGATATGAGACTAAGTTGTCTTTTCACTCTCTTTTGATTAACAAAAAAAGATTTCATTAATTAGTAGAAATAAATAAATAATTTTTTGACAAAAATAAGTGCAAAGCATCTCCCTAGTATTTTAAATAATGATTGGTTTATTAAAGAAAACAAATAAACAATAAATAAATTGTCTTTCCTAGCATGTTGCACATCTTTGATGACAAAAATTAAAGAAAACACCAGGACAACCACCATAAATTGTTCCAGTAATTGAAGACGAATTTCAGGTCTATATTCCATATAGTATATTCTAAGTTTAATTCTTAGCGTGTATGAATCATATAATAATAATTAGAGAGACGCTTAAATGTCTCAATGAGTTTACTCAATGTCCCAAAAGTTGCTCATTGTGACTGAAGTCATTAGTTGGTTTTTTTTGCCAAAAAAACACACACGCAATCACAGAAAGGTCAAATCATTGCCAAACCCATGACACCCCAAACTAATAGAAAATAATATAGTTCATCACTTATTTGCCAACCCTAAAACAAACAAACAGAAAAATAATTATAAGTGATATACGGCAGAACTTATCATTTTTATTTCAAAATTAGTTTAAATATTTCAATCTTAATTTTTATTTAATCAAGTAGTATATTGGATAAGTTGAATCTGGGCGAAGAACCAAACAACATACGAAATAATAATTTTTTTATCCCACAGATTATGTAATTAATTATTAAAATTTGATTACGACTTTTGTTTCGTGTGACAAAATTGCGACGTGGAAAGTGAGGACCATTTTGGTTGGCAAAGTGTGACAATGCAAGACTTGGATATGCTCAAGTCTTTCCAAAAAATTATTGACGTTTTCTCAAGCAAGGTTTTGTTTCTGCTTTTCTGTTGTTTTATTTTCTCGTGGGAATCTCAAGTATGTCAAATGGAAAGTTGTTGAAGGCAAATCATTGACCCTAAGTTCTATACATTATTGTCTTTCTGGGGTCCACCTATTTGGACTTTAAACGTTTTGAGCTTCAACATTGTATTAATCGGAGATAGAAATTAGGGTTCGTTTGTAAGTATTTTTAAAAATGATCTTTTGATATAGATGCCTCAATTTTGAATTTTTTAGATCAAACATCTATACTTTTTAGTGATTTGATTAAACTTTTTTTTGTCATAATTTTGGTGCTATATGCACGTTATATCATAACAAATTTCCTATAATCTAGCATTTTGATTACTCTTCTCCATTAGAGATAATTGTAAAAAAAAAAAAAAAGTTGGTTTAATTCAATTTATTTTCACAATAATGCTACAATTTAGCAATAATTATCTACGATTTAAGATATTTTATTTCCAAAATAGTTTAAAATATTTTTAAACCCCACAAAATCAAACGTACCGAAATATGTTTTTCTTTTAGTACGTTAAGAGAAAATAGGATTGAGAATAATATAAACGTACTAATACACAATGTGTACAAAATAAAACGTACCAAAATAAAAATAATGTACCAATATTAACAATATATATCAAATCAAACGTACAAAAATTGCAAATAAACGTACCAATTAATGATTTTTGTAAATTCAAACGTACCCGCATATAATATATACGTATTGTATTGTACCTAATAATAACTCATCAACAACTATACTTAAAAAAACAGCAAAAAAATATAATTTCACAAAAAAATTGAAAAAATTACATGGAACTTTTATGGTGATCACCAACTATTTGAAAGAAAAAAACCATTTGGAAAAAGAAATACTATTAAATGTTTGCATAACAAAAAAAAAAAAAAAAACACTGTGATCGAAAAAACATATAAGAGAAAATAGAGTTTAATTACTAATATCTCCACTAAATAAGGAAAAGTGCATCGTGCAGATAAAATGATAAATTCAAAAATTATTTTAATTTTAAAAAATATAATAATGACATGTAATTTAGCTTAAGGTGGCTATTGATCAAAGCACTTTAATCAAATTTTAAAAAGGCATAGATGTTTAATCTAAATGATATAGAAAAACGGTAGGGGATTCTAATTTTCTCTATGACTGAAAAATGCTTTTAAAAAAATTTATATTTTGGGTTCCAAAAAATACTTGAAGTGCTTACTGCAAGAAACACCAATATATCAATTACTTTTCTAAGATTCACTTGCATTTTTGTTAAGGATTGATATAAAAAAACATTTTCACCAAAAATAATTTTAGCCATTTTAAAAGTACTTACAGACGAGTCCTTATATAAGGGCGAATTAACTTATTTTTCTTGTAGCATAAAGTGAAATTTAGGTGTTGGGGTAGGTTAAAATTTCATTTTGTGCAATATTAGACTTAATTTTCCGTAACATGTTTATTCTAATACAAAAAACTTTCGTCTTCTAAAACTTGGGGTGTGCTAGAGCCCTGAGCAACTACGAGCTGTGTCCTCCCTTGAGTTCACCCACTTATTGGGAAGCGTTTGATGATCAATGAGTTTAGTTATTACCCCTCCATCACCCCATCTCCCCCTCAACCTCAACCCTCACACCCTTCACAACCCCGAGGACCCAACTCTCGTTAATGGTATATGTAACAGAGTTAACGGAATATGATAAAGTGAGATATAAAGAATAAGTACATACGGTAAAAGTAAAATAAAACAGTGTAAGATAAAAGTGAGATTTGTTGTAGCTCAAAATAAGCTTAAAACATAAACTATTGGTAGTTTGAATAGCTAACTCTTAATCCATCGATACTTTCTTAGAATGGATGCTCCAAATTCAAAATCCTCCTTCCCATGTCGACAAAAAAAAAAACAATATATACTGGTAGTTTTGCTCACATGTAAACTACTAACAAATGATACATATGTTAGACACTTCATTCTTACGTGTAATACAAATATATTTATTAGAGAATTGTTATACAAATATATTTATTAGAGAATTACCTTAATTTACAACATGACTTGCAGTATATATTTCATATACATATATCTTGCAACAGAATTATATTTTTGGCTTAAATGTCAAAATGGTGTGTTATTGCTATTTGGCCAATTTAGTCCACCTGTTTATAATTTGGCCAATTCGATCTTCATGTTTATCTTCGCGACTAATTAAGGACATTTAATCTAATCTCTGTTAAAAATTCATAAATTATTAAAATAAAAGAAAATTTTATCTTCTGTGAACTCCCCAACCTCCTTACTAACGTGGTATGTTACTTAATTACACAGTCAGAGGCAAGGTGATCGGAGATAATTCGGTCTTCATGTTTATCTTCGCGACTAATTAAGGACATTTAATCTAATCTCTGTTAAAAATTCATAAATTATTAAAATAAAAGAAAATTTTATCTTCTGTGAACTCGCCAACCTCCTTGCTAACGCGGTCTGTTACTTAATTACACAGTCAGAGGCAAGGTGATCGGAGATAATTTTCTTAGGACTAGGATGATAGGTAGGATCGAGGTAGATCTAGAGACACGTTCGTCAAGTTGCAACTTGCAAGCGTGCATGGTTGGGGTAGAGGTTTGGGTCAAGGACAAGGTGGATGAGGGCAGGTATGTTCAATTCTTTTTTTTTCATTCCAATTAAAAAAAAATTCGGCAGAGATTAAATAAAAATAGGTTGTAATATTTTTATAAATTTTTCGATAGAGATTAAATAAAATATCTTTAATTAGCTATAACAAATGAACTATTTTGACATTTAAGCTTTATATTTTAATATAAAAAGACAACAAAATTTTATGTATAAACCAAATTTGGCATTTAGCAGATAGTATGAAATATTGCCATCAATGTGAGTCCTCATTTTATATATAGGGACGAAACTTCTGCGACCTTTCCATCTTTAAGCTCCACAAATCATTTGTTCCCATCCTTTCATCTCCCCCAAAAAACACCTTCCAAAGCTCTCCGTGAATAGTAACCCTTTGACTCCCTGTCTGCCCTTGTCCTTCTCCACCTCCATCGAAAACCCAACAAAAAAGCTTTCACCTTTTACGTTTCTATATAAATCCCACTTCCCAAAACTCTCTAACTTCACTCTGTGTTTTCGAAATCCTCGACTTTCATGACCATGCGGAGGAAAATGTGGATGTTTTCTAATTGAACCGCCTCCTCCAACCCCCCCCCAAAGCTTGTCTTTTCCGTGATGGAAGGTATGAAAAAACCCTCAAGAACTGCCACCGTCACAGCCACCATCATCAACGCCTTGCTGAGCAACAAAGCCTGTTCACAAAGCTTCCGTCTCTCCAAGCTTTCCTTCTGGTTCGCCCCAACAACTCGCCCTCCCGGTCTGCTCTTCTCCAGCTTCGGTTCATAGTTTCTGCAAATCCCAAAAGACTTGGAAATATTAAACATAACAAACAAACAAACAAACAAGATTCACATGGATTATTACAATTTTAGCTCAAAATCTTCATTTGGGTCGGATTTCTCGAGCTTGTTCGACCCTTTTAAGCATGACGTAAGTGGGTTCGGCGGGGCTTCGCGCGGCGGCGCTGCGGCGAATCTGCCTCACTCTCTTGTCTTGGACAGTGAGAAAGGCGAGCTTGTTAAGGCTCCGGCGAGAGTGGGGAAAAAAGAGGTGCCTGAGGCCAAGGCTTTGTTGGCTTTGAAGAATCACAGCGAGGCTGAAAGGAGGAGGAGAGAGCGAATCAATGCACATCTCTCTACACTTCGCGGTCTGGTGCCCTGCACTGAGAAGGTAAAGTAATTTCATTGAGTTTTCTATAAAATTATATTTGGTTAGTCCTAATCAGTTTTAGTTAGTAATTTAATTAGTAAATACTTGGATTTGTTGGATTGTGTTTATAGCTTGTTAAATCTTTTACTGGTTAGTAGTTAGTAGATATTAGTCATCTAACTTAAATTTTCGATTCTGTATCGAATAGTTAGACAACAGTTTCTCACTGATTGGAAAATGGAAACTAATAACTTATGATCTGAAATTTAGGTTCGTTGAATTTTTAGGATCGTGCTTGGACCGTAAACAAAAAATGAATTTTACATCTTCATTTCAGATTAACTTCTAAAACCTATTTGGCCTACTTGAGCAAAGATTTTGTGTTTGCACAAAATCGAAAAGATGGAAACTTTCGGTTTGAATTGATATGATAAGTTTTTGTTACGTAGTGTGGGATCAGGCTTTGTTGTTGTTGTTTCCTGTCATAGTACAGCAAAAAGAGGTTTATCAGAATATGTAGCAAATTAAATGGAGCAGGCTAGCTGATAGTTTTTAGCTTTTTACAGTCTAATCTATTATGCCAAAAAGCAAACATCTTTAAGCAAAATTTTGTAATGTTGCAAGAGTTTCTGTTGAAGAGTTATCAAATTCATAGATTCTGAACTCGAATGAAGTTATCTGTCAGGAGTCTGCTTCGGATATTCTGTACTCCGTGCTTTGGCATCGAACTGTTGGCTCTAAAAAATGTCATATGTTATTATCACGTTATGAAATCATGTAAAGAGTTCTTTAGGGCACGTCATTCAAATTGACAAATTTTTTTGTTACATCATTTGCGCTATTGGAGAGTCATTTCTTTATGCAGAAGTTTCAAAAGTCAACTCAAAGATACGTTATAAATTTGAAAAGTAGAATTGATATCACAATCTATGATTATGTGCATAAAATCTTCCATACTAAGAACTTCAAATACTATCTGTAAATTGGATCTGCAGTAGATATCTAGGTTTCATTTTTGCATTTTCAATTAAATTAAGAATCTAAGCATGACGACAGCCATGGTTACTATTTTCATATGCAATGAATCGAAATATAAAAAACAAAGAGGAAGGTAAAGAAGGGATGAATTTTTCACCTGTTGCGTACATCACAATATGCCTTATGAATCTGTGATGTAAGAAAAATTTGAAATTGGCTGTTGTTGGCAGAGAGAGGACCTCTGACTTTGTTGTATATTCTACGAAGTCAAAGGCGTCTATAATAAAATTATAGTTTAGTAGGCTGAGCGTTGTTTCATGCTAACCTCATCTTGCTGAATAATTTTCTGAGTATATGTATGGATGCTTTGCTGTCAACTGTTACAGTAGATAGCGGACAATTATGTGTTTCGAACTTTCGAGAAATACTGATGATTATGATTGGATGATGGGGTAGAGTGCCGGCTGTGTGGTAGATGCCATCACAAGGTCTGCATCTGGATATATTTTATGGCTTAGATGTATCTTGCTCAACTGTTTCGTTATGCTAATTAATTAATTATGGTTATATCAGATTAGGGGCGGTAAGCAAGAAACAGATGTGTGGGGAAAGAATAACCAGTAAATTTTTTAATTTGAAGCTGAAGAGTATCTGTATTAATAAAACAAAGATTTTTAATTGCAAATTTGTTAGCTTAGTTTGTCGTCAACCACGCCTTGTAGGTTGTAACAAGTTGGAATACTAGCTCTGCATTTTGTGGACTAAGTCTATGTGATGATAACTTATCAACAAGTTCTGCTGATGCTACTATAATTAGTAATTAATTATATAAAACTTGTATTCGTCTCTCTAGCTAGGTGTCTGTTCATGTCTTAGTCAAGATTAAGTTAATTGGGTTTCTGCAGTTGACAAAGAAGACATCTTACTTGCGAACAAATGGCTGCCAGTGGTTTTGTTTTGTACATGCATGTATACATCTACGTATCTAATTTCTTGTGTATGTATGCGCCCATGTAGTTTATGCTGTTGACCAGCACTGCGACATAGCCGTAGTTGCTTGTAAGAAAAGTAACAATAAATTTAGGTGTTTAAAAACGTGAAACAAACTATGTTTAAAAACGTGAAACAAACTATGTTTAAAAACGTGAAACAAACTATGTGTTGACTGTTGATGGCAACAGATTAAAGTCTTAACCTCGATCTAATCGTTTGCTACAGATGGACAAAGCCACATTACTTGCAGCAGTTATCAGCCAAGTGAAAGAACTGAAGATGGATGCCCTAGAATCCAGTAAGGGGTTTCTCATCCCAGTTGATGCTGATGAAGTGAAAATTGAACCCTATGTTGCGGCAGGGGATGGAAACATATCTGTGAAGGCATCCGTCTGCTGTGAATACCGGTCTGAGCTTCTCTCTGACCTAAGAGAAGCCCTCGACTCCCTCCACTTAAAAATGGTGAAAGCAGAAATAGCGACTTTGGGAAACCGAGTGAAAAATGTATTCGTTCTCACCAGCTCCAAACCGGGAAGCAATGATTCTGATGCTGAAGCATACGAACTTCTTGCAAGTTCGGTTCACCAGGTCCTGAGTTCCGTCCTTGATAAAGCATCAGCCTCACCAGAATACTCGCCAAGAACAACGCTGCTGAGCAAAAGGCGAAGGCTCTCTTACTTCGATAAAATCGATACCTCGAGCTCATCCTCGTGAGAGCAAGATTTGTATGTCTTGGTGATCAAGATTGTAATTTCAAATATGGAGTTTGTATTTGTATTTTCGGACATGGATGCGTGGATATATCAATTATTTGAGATATCTACATGTACACATTGTAATATAAAACCTCAATTAATCTATAAGGAACAAGGAGGAAAGACAAAGCTCCTTGGATTGAAATATAATTTTTATGGATGTGTGATTTCATACACAAAATTAGATTACTATTTTAAGTGACAAAATTGCCTTAACTTTTGTTAAACATTGAAAAAATTTAGCAATGGTCTCTTGACTAAAACTCATGATCATTGGTCCCTTAACTTTTCAAAACTTGCAGTTATGGTCATTTGAACTTTCTGTCAAAACGAGCCACGTTGGAAGAATCTTTGCAACAATTGGGTTAAAGTTGGAACCCTTGGTCCAATTAGGTTATGGTTGAGGGACCATTTTTACAATTTTCTCATTTAGTTTCCCATATTTTCCCCTTGATTCAGCCTCACATGCATGACACGCGACTCATTTTGACAGAAGTTTTAACAGAGTCAATGAAAATGACCACAGCTGTATTTTTTGATGAGTTAAGAGACCAATAATCATAGATTTTTAGTTGAGAGACCATTGCCCAAATTGAGTTAAAGTTAAGGGATCATTCCTACAAATTTCTCTGAAACATTTTAACGAAAATTTAGACACAAAATTAATTGAGATACTAAATTGGTACAACCAAAAGTTTGTGTACTAAATTGAAACAAAATTCAAAGTTCAAGTATTAAATTCGGAAGAAGCAATCAAACTTGGATTAACTAACCAGAACAAAATAATACTTAGGCCTTGTCAGTCGGTGGGTCCACCAGGTGCTGTGTTGGCGGGATGTCATTGGCTACTTCCCTTAGAAGCAGTATATGCGGGAAAGGGAGGGAATCTAAACCGTGGAGAGAAGGAACTCCAAACCAAACACAACGAGGTGTCTTCTTCTTCTTCTTCTTGTTATATTCGAACTTGATCTCTTCACTCTTTCTGACAAACAATTTATATACTTTTACCCTTTGTACTCTTCAATTTTACGAAATCTTACCCCCCAAAAAAGAAGAGGGCAAGCTCGCAGCTAATCGCAGCAGAAAAATCATGGAGGGAGGCAGCGGGAAATCCATACTCCAATTCGCACCGTTTCAGAGCTCCGTCGACGAGGGTTTCTGGCACAGACTCTCTTCCTTGAAGCTCAACAAGTTCGGCATCGACGACTCGCCTGTTCCCATCACCGGTTCGTTTTTTTGTTTGTTTAATTTCTGTTAATAGATGGTGCAGTTCTGGGAAATAAAAAAGATAGAAGATTTCCGCAGTTTGGATGGTGGGTTTTGGAAATTCTTGTACTTTTGTTGAATTATTATTTTAGTTGTAGATTATGAGATAAAAAAATAGCCTTTTTGGATGTGGAATTGTTGTTTTAGCTATTTTGGTGCGAAAATTTGGAGGAGGAAAAAGCAGCAAGATTTGTAAATTGGGTTTCGGATTTCGATTAATTGGGATAACAAAGATATGATTTTTGTGATGAATGATAGTGCTTTACAATGTTGTTTACTTATATGATTTGAATGCGAATTTATGTGTGACTTAAGTGCAACGGCTTCCTGTAATCTGAGATGTGGACTGACACTGTTGCAGGTTTCTACGCACCGTGCTCGCATTCTCAAGTGTCAAATCATTTAACTCTTTTAGCCGAGTCTTTGCCTTCGGATTCGAGTGAGGAATCATCGGTACCAGGAGTAAGTCGGGGCAATAGGAACAGATGCTCCGTTCCAGGAATCATTTACAACACGAATACGGTAGAGGGCTTTCATGCGCTTGATAAACAGGGCTTGCTTAAGGCAGAAGCGCAAAAGGTATTGAATGTGTTGAGAATGTATTACATCTGTGAGTGACAGTAAAATATAGTATTCGGTTGAAATATCATGTAGGCGGATTGGTAGGGTTGACTAACAATGAATTTAATGTTGCTTAACATGTCTGCTTCTTGTTCGTAATCAGATTTGGGAGGACATCGAGAGTGGAAGAGCATTGGAGGATAGTTCAGTACTCTCGAGGTTCCTTGTCATCTCTTTTGCAGACCTGAAAAAATGGAGCTTTAATTACTGGTTTGCTTTTCCCGCTCTGGTGCTTGATCCTCCAGCAACTTTGGTAAATTTGAGGCCAGCTTCACAGTGTTTTAGCTTGGAGGAGGTATGTCAGATGTGTTTTTTATAGGCACTGTAGAAAGGTATTTAGATGTTACGTATATAAACTCTAATACTACTGTTATATCTTTAGGCAGAATCTGTTTCAGCAGCATTTAACGAGTGGCGTAACTCAAGCCTAACAGCAGGTATACATATGTCTCATTTTCTATTCTGTCAATTGTCTGCAGAAACTTCTCCTTATATTCACATATGCTCGGATGTAAATTTTGAATGTTTCTTCTAACCTAATTTGTCTGATTCAGACGTGCCATTCTTCTTGGTTCATATTGATTCAAATTCACACTCTACTATTAAGCATCTAAAGGATTGGGAAACCTTCCAAAGTGCTGATGATGGTCACAAGGTCTGTTTGCTTAATTTTGATTCGAACTATAGCTAATCATTTAGGTGTCCGGGAAACTGGAATAATTTTTTAGATATTTCTGGGTTCAACTTTCTTAAAGTTACTTTTTGTGCCATTGCAGTTACTCTTTGGTTTTTACGATCCATGCCATCTTCCAAACCATCCCGGTTGGCCTCTTCGCAACCTCCTTGCTCTTATTTGCTCAAGATGGGATCTAAAGTCTGTTCACTTTTTATGCTATAGAGAGAGTCGGGGTTTCGCAGATCTGGGACTGTCCCTTGTTGGTGAAGCTCTGATTACAGTTCCGCCAGGTAGTGCTGCAGAAATTGGGTAACTGCCCGGTTATGATTACGTTTCTCCCTTCTACAGTTTGAATATGCTTGTATCTGTAGTTACTCTAACTTAAGTTTTTATGTGTTTTTAGGATGGAGAGATCATGGTCATGTACCAAATGTAGTCGGGTGGGAACTTAACAAAGGGAGAAAAGTACCCAGGATTATTAGCCTTGCTAAATCTATGGATCCAACTAGGTATGTTGTCTCTATTGGCACCCTATTTTCAATGACGTTACTAGTCCATTGTTATCTTAGTGTCTTTTTATAACTTTTACAGGTTGGCCATATCTGCTGCAGATTTGAATTTGAAACTAATGAGATGGCGTGCTTTGCCTTCTTTGAACTTAAATAGCTTGTCTTCTCTCAAGTGTCTCCTCCTTGGAGCTGGTACACTTGGATGCCAGGTCGCTCGGACGCTTATGGTGAGTGTTCCAAAAATACAAATTAATTTGTAGTTGTATTATGTATCTATTGGGTGACTAAAGGGTACATGTTTTACAGGCTTGGGGTGTCCGGAACATTACGTTGGTTGACAATGGCAGGGTGGCTATGTCTAATCCGCTGAGGCAATCACTGTATACATTAGATGACTGCCTAAATGGTGGTGAATATAAAGCGACAGCTGCGGTTAATAGTCTCAAGAAAATATTTCCAGCTGTGGTAATTAATTTCATCTCTTTGTCCTCTAAAATACATGGATTGAAACGAAAATTTGTTGATTTTCTTATATTGCCTGTCCATCTCTTTATTCTTTTACCAGGAAGCAGAGGGTGTCATCATGGCTATACCGATGCCTGGACATCCTGTTCTGAGTCAAGAAGAGCAGAGTGTGCTCGATGATTGTAGACGACTACATGATTTAATTGATTCTCATGATGTAGTTTTCCTGCTGACTGATACAAGAGAAAGTCGGTGGCTACCATCTCTCCTTTGTGCAAACACTAACAAGGTTGGTTGACTTAAGCTTTTAGGATCTGGCAGACTTGCACTGCGGTACAATGTGGCCCTATATTCTCATATATAACTTTTACTCACGTCTACATTACAAAGATCTAGTTGCATGATTTAAAAATATTGAATATTTGAATTAGCTATCGTAACAAATTGATAGACATATTATCGAATAATAAATCATTACTATTTACTTGTTTGCAGATTACTATAACTGCGGCTTTAGGGTTTGATAGCTTCTTGGTTATGCGCCATGGAGCAGGCCCTTGTAGCTCTAGCCATTACTCAAAAACTGAAGCTGAAAATGCTTTATCTGCTTATATGGGCAATCTTGGCCTTACTGATAGAGACGGGGGGAACAGATTGGGCTGTTACTTCTGCAATGATGTTGTTGCGCCTATTGATGTAAGTTTCTAGAATGTAATACATATATTTTAAGTGTTCTTCCATGTACTTTGAATACAGTCATAAGTATAAGCCTTTTGTTCTATGTGCAGTCAACTTCAAACCGCACATTGGACCAGCAATGCACTGTTACACGCCCAGGCCTTGCTCCTATTGCCTCAGCTCTTGCAGTTGAGCTCTTAGTGGGGATCCTACATCACCCTCATGGGTAAAATCTTGGAATTTTTTGAAAATTACTAAATATGTATTAGCTTTCTGCGTTTTTCAAATATTTTCACTTTTCATGAGCTCAATAGAAAGTCCACCTTTGGTTTTTTAAACGGTTGAACTGGAATTTTGATATTAAACTGCTTGTGTTCAGGATATTTGCGGAAGGTGAGGGGGTAAACTCCAGTAATAGCGGAAGCAGTGAGCAGCCTCTTGGTATTTTACCCCATCAAATTCGCGGTTCCCTAGCGCAGTTTTCGCAGATGACACTTGTGGGCCACTCCTCGGACAGTTGCACAGCTTGTTGCAGCACTGTAAGTTTTGCCTTGCTTGGAGACTTACTGTAGCGTTCATGATATTTTGCCGGATTCTGTGTTCCTTATTCACGGCAAATGAATTATTTCAGGTGGTGTCCGAATATCGGAAAAGGGGAATGGAATTTATTTTGCAAGCAATCAACCATCCTACATATCTGGAGGACCTAACTGGACTGACAGAGTTGATGAAATCAGCTAGTAAATTCGAGTTGGACTGGGACGACGGGACAGATGAAGACGATGATGATTTGGTTGAGGTTTGATTTTCCTTTTCTTTGGGGTGTCTGGGTTCAAAGCTGTAATTCATTCTCAATTGTACATATGCTCCGGAAAGTAACATTCAATTATGTATTTTTCAATTTGTTCGTTCTCGCACCATTCTGAATTGTATGCTGTACTTCTCTATGAAAGAATATATTCGAAGTTTAACCCAAGTTGCGGTTGTTTGTGTCGATTCTT